GGTTTCAAACTCCTGACCTCACCATCTGCCCACTTAGGCCTCCCAAAGTGTTGGGATTACAGGTGTGAACCATTGCACCCAGCCTAGTTTTTTTATTTTGTTTTTGACATGGTGTCTTGCTCTTGTTGCCCAGGCTGGAGGGCAATGGCACAATCTCTGCTCACTGCAACCTCCGAATCCTGGGCTCAAGCGATTTTCCTGCCTCAGCCTCCTGAGTAGCTGAGATTACAGGTGCCTGACACCATGCCTGGCTAATTTTTGTATTTTTAGTAGAGATGGGGCTTGACAATGATTCCCATGCTGATCTCAAACTCCTGATCTCAGGCAATCTGTCCACCTCAGACTCTCAAAGTGCTAGGATTACAGGCATAAGCCACCATGCCTATCCTCGCATATATGTTTTTAAAAGCTCTTAACTCTATAACTCTATCAAGACAGTTGCAGGTGGGCAAAAAACAAATAAATAAAGCTCTTAACTCTTGTATTATTTATTTATTTATTATTATTATTATTTTGGTATTATTTATTTATTGACATTTCTTGGAGACAGGGCCTCACACTGTCACCGAGGCTGGAGTGCAGCAGCACAATCTCGGCTCACTGAAACCTCGCCTTCCTGGGTTCCAGTGATGATCTTGCCTCAGCCTCTGGAGTAACTGGGATTACTGGCCCATACACCATGCTCAGCTAATTTTTGTATATAGAGAGACTGGGTTTCACCATGTTAACCAGGCTAGTCTGGACCTCCTGACCTCAAGTGATCCGCCCACCTCAGCCTCCCAAAGTGCTGGGGTTACAGCCATAAGCCACCCCCCTACCCTTTCCTGCTATTATTTACATTGTATTTTTTCTTGTCAGACGAGTAGAAAATTTACATTTGCAATTGATATGTAGCTTGGATTGCAGTATAGCTTTATGCTGTTCTTCATCAGGGAGTAGATTTCTCAAGTGTTGCTCAGAGACAATTGGCAACCATGGCTTAGAGTGCCTATGGGGTTGGTGCCAGATGGGCTGGGAATAGGCACTGTCTGAGTTAGATATTGGAGTTGATGACCCCTCACCCCCAGGCACCTTTTATTCAAATGACTAGTTATACGGAATCTGCATCTTTGCGTACAGCACAGGGCCCTGAAAAGAGTCATTGTTTATTGCATGTTTACTGTCTGGCTGTGACACCTACAAAAGCCTAACTTTGTTACAATGTTCTTAGGTGGATGCCTATGATGATGACTTTAAAGTTCGTGTAGAGTTCACAAACTCTATTCACATGTGCTACAGATAATTTTAGAATTCAGAGCTGGACAGGGTGGCTTACACCTGAAACTCTAGCATTTGGGGAGACACAAACAGGAAGATCATTTGAGTCCAGGAGTTTGAGACGAGCCTTGGCAACATAGGGAGATGCCATCTATACATTAAAAAAAAAAAAATAGCCGGGTGTGGTGTTAGTATCTGCAGTCACAGCTACTCAGGAAGCTAAGGTGGGAGGATCACTTGAACCTAGAAGGTGCAGGTTACAGTGAGCTGTGATTGTGCCACTGTACTCCAGTCTGGGCAACAGAGGGAGACCCTATCTCAAAAACTAAATAAACCATTGTATCTATGTGCTGTTACTAAATTCTAATATTGGAACTCAGGACTCTTTTAATCAAACCCTGTATTTACACCATCCAAAAAGAATTTATTTGATGGAATGAAACCACTGTGAGTCCCCTCTGGTTCTAGGATACAGCACCTTTTAATACAGGTGCTTGTACTGAGCACCCTGGTCTCTGGTCCAATACCAACTTGTCACTTAAGCCCTAGGGTCTGAGAAAAGGAGACAGTGTAAGCAGCTCCGATAGAGGATGAGCAGAAAGAAATCAGAAATCTGAACAGGATTAATCCTGAACATGATTAACCTGGAAAGCTCTGACCTTTCCAGAGCTTTCCCCCAGCTCTCCCCTGCCCCACTCCTCCCTGCTGCATCTCCTGGTGTCCCTCCACCCCCCACCCCCCACAGGGGTGCTGTGCAGAGGAAATTCAGTCATTCCCAGGTTTATTCTGTGTCACTGCAATCCATTCTCCACAGAAACTGAGTTTCTGTCTCAATGACTGACCTCCATGTTCTCATGTAGCACCAAAGGCCTTTTCTGTCACAATCATTTTTTGATTATCCATTTAGTAGCATTCCCACAAGAAGAGTTGGAAAGATTCCTCTGATTATGAAAATAATCTGGCTGTGCACTCTGGCTCACACGTGTAATCCCAGCCCTTTGGGAGGCAGAGGCGCGTAGATCATGAGGTCAGGAGATTCAGACCACCCTGGCCAATATGGTGAAACCCTGTATCTACTAAAATACAAAATAAAACTTAGCTGGGCATGGTGGCACTCTCCCATAGTTCCAGCTACTCAGGAGGCTAAGGCAGGGAAATTTCTTGAACCTGGGAGATTGCAGTGAGCAGAGGTCACACCACTGGACTCCAGCCTGGTGACAGAGCAAGACTCCGTCTCATAAATAAATAACTAGGCCAGGCGCGGTGGCTCAGGCCTGTAATCCCAGCACTTTGGGAGGCCAAGGCGGGCGGATCACGAGGCCAGGAAATCGAGACCATCCTGGCCAACATGGTGAAACCCCGTCTCTACTAAAAATACAAAAATTAGCTGGGCGTGGTGGCACACACCTGTAATCCCAGTCACTCAGGAGGCTGAAGCAGAAGAATTGCTTGAACCCAGGAGGCGGAGGTTGCAGTGAGCCGAGATTGTGCCACTTCACTCCAGTCTGGCGACGGAGCAAGACTCTGTCTCAAAAATAAATAAATAAATAAATATATAAATAAATAACTTAGGCCAAATGCGGTGGCTCATGCCTATAACCCCAACACTTGGGGAGGCCTAGGCAGGCAGATCATTTGAAGCCAGGAGTTAGACAAGCCTGGCCAACATGGTGAAACCTCATCTCTACTAAAAATACAAAAATTAGCCAGGCCTGGTGACACATACCTGTAATTCCAGCTACTTGGGAGATTGAGGCAGGAACCTGGGTGGCAGAGGTTGCAGTGAGCCGAGATGGCCCCCAATGCACTCCAGCCTTGATGACAGTAAGTGAGAATCTGTTTCAGAAAAAAAGAAAAAAAAGAAGAAGCAGAAATAAAAGTAATCTTAGTTTTAGAAGATTTGGAAAATCCAAGGAAAGCAGAGGAAGAAAATAAAATTATCCGTTAGTTCATGTCTGGGAGGAATTGTTAGGATTTTGCAGTAAACTCCTGTTGGATTTCTATTTAGTCATATGTAGCAAGGCATACTTTACTAGGATGTGAATGTACTCAACATTTTCTTTTAATCTTCCTTTTCGCCTAAATGTATTATCAGTATTTTAGCATATCATTTTTTTTCTACCGTGGTTTCTTATTTTAATTAATTAATTTTTTTGAGACAGGATCTTACTCTGTCGCCCAGGCTGGAGTGCAGTGGCATAATCATAGCCCACTGTAGCCTCGGGCTCCTGGGCTCAAATGATCCTCCCACTTCAGCCTCCCAAGTAGTTGGGACCACCACCATGATCAGCTAATTTACTTAAAATTGTTTTCTAGAGGCAGGATCTCTCTATTTCACCTAGGCTGGTCGCAAACTCTTGGGCTTGCGTAATTCTTCCACTGTGGCCTCCCAAAGTGCTGGGATTGCAGGTGTGAGCCACTGTGCTTGGCATTGTACCATGTTTTTAGAAGCTGAATATATTTTATATGCTAGGGAATCTTAGATGTTTAGTTATTGAAGAAGTGAGTTAATTTGGAAAATAATAAAATATGAAATATGTCTAAACACTTTATTTTAAATTTAAACGACAGTATATACATATATATATTTTTTGAGATGGAGCCTCCCTCTGTCACCCAGAGTGGTCTCAAACTCTTGACCTCATGATCCGACCACCTTGGACTCCCAAAGTTCGGGGATTACAGGAGTGAGCCACCATGCCTGGCCCTAAACAACAACAGCATATTCACTTTGCAACCTTTTTTTTTTTTTTTTTTTTGATAGAGTCTTACTGTGTCGTTCAGGCTGGAGTGCATGAAGTGCAGTGGTGCAGTCTCGGGTGAGTGAATCATCAACCTCCTGGGCTGGAATGATCATCCCATCTCAGCCTCCCTACTAGATGGGACTACATGTGTGAGCCACATTGCCCTGTCTCACTTTGCAATCTTTTGGCTACAGGTGTAAAGCCCATTCTTGAAGAGAGTGTCCATTTATTCCAGTTTTTTGCCAAACCATCCCTGTAATATCCAGTTTTGATTTCTATAGAATGGATGAATGAAGACAGAACATGAAAGACCCTTTTCTTTTTTTTTTTTTTTTTGAGATGGAGTTTTGCTCTTTTCACCCAGGCTGGAGGGCAATGGTGAGAGATCTCAGCTCACTGCACAACCTCTGCCTCCTGGGTTCAAGGGATTTTCCTGCCTCAGCCTCCTGAATAGCTGGGATTACGGATGCACACCACCTAATTTTTGTATTTTTAGTAGAAACAGGGTTTCACCATGTTGACCAGGCTGGTATCAAACTCTTAACTTTAGGTTATCTGCCTCCCTTGGCTTCCTAAAATGCTGGGATTACTGGCATGAGCCACAGTGCCCGGCTCAGAATGTAAAAGAATTTTAAAGGCCCTTAATGCAACCTCCTAGATCAGGTGCAAATGTTTCCAGGCTAGGCCAGGTGTGGTGGCTCATACCTGTAATCTCAACACTTTGGGAGGCTGACAGGAGGATCACTTGAGGTGAGGAGTTGGACAAAGCAAGATCCCCATCTTTATTTTTAAAGGAAGAAACATTTCCAGCCTTTTTAAAAAAAAAAAAAAAATGGAATCTTGCTCCATCACCCAGGCTGGAGTGTAGTGGTGTGATCTCAGATCACTGCAACTTCTGCCTCCTGGTTCAAGCAAGTGTCCTCACTCAGCCTCCCAAGTAGTTGGAACTACAGGCATGTACCACCATACCTGGCTTTTTTATTTATTTTTGTTTTTTATCAGGGGAAAGCACAAATGCAGTCCCATACTACCTCAAATTTTGCAGTCCATTTTCCCACATTTGGGGAAATCACAGGGGCCAGCACATCTGGAGTGCAATGGATGAGACTTGCCCTGGGAAAACCACCTTCATGATCATGGTATCTCCCCTGCCAGGTAATTTTTGTGTTTTTAGTAGAGATGGGGTTTCACCATGTTGGCCAGGCTGGTCTCAAATTCCTGGCATCAGCTTAACCACCCACCTGGGCCTCCCAAAGTGCTGGGATTACAGGCACAAGCCACCTGGCCCACCCTCACATATATCTGTTTTTCAAAGCTCTTCACTCTTGGTATTATTTATTTACTTATTGGAGACAGGGTGTCACTCTGTGGCCCAGGCTGGAGTGCAGTGGCACAATCACAGCTTACTGCAAACCCCGCTTTCTGGGTTCAAGTGACTCTAGGACCTCAGCCTCCTGAGTAAATGGGATGACAGGCACACTTGGGTCATTTTTGTAGCTTTTTTAGTAGAGACTGGGTTTCACCATGTTAGGCAGGCTGGCCTCAATGTCCTGCTCTGAAGTGATTCACCCATCTCGGCCTCCCAAAGTCCTGGGTCTACAGGCATGAGTCTCCCTGCCAAGGTCATTCCTGCTATTATTTAAATTGTACTTTTTCATTGTCAAACAATTTACATTTGGAATTGATATTTAGTTTTACTTGTAGTGTAGCTTTCTTATGTTCTTTACCAGGGACTATGTTTCTAAAGTGTTGCTCAGAGAGAATTGGCAACAATAGCTTACAGTGCAAATGGGGTTGGCGCCAGATGGCCTGGGGTTAAGTATTGTCTGAATCAGATACTGGAATTGATGACGCCTCACCCCCCCCACCTCTCTTCAAATGGTCATAGTTAATGGGATATTGACAACTACTAAGGAATCTATATGTTTGTATACAGCTTTGGGACCTGAAAAGAGTCATTGTTTAGTGTATATTTACTGGCTGGCTGAGATTCCTGCAAAAGCCTAACTCTGCTACAATTATGACTTTAAAGTTTGTGTACAGTTCACAAACTCTATTCACATGTGCTACAGACAATTTTAAGAATTCAAGGCTAGGCTTGGTGGCTCACAACTGTAATTCCAGCATTTTGGGAGACCCAAGAAGGAAGATCGTTTGAGTCCTGGAGCTCCAGACTAGCCTGGGCAACATAAGGAGACTTTTAACTCCACAAAGAAAAAAAAAAAAAATTAGCCAGGTGTGGTGACAGCACCTATAGTCCCAGCTACTCCGGAAGCTAAGGTGGGAGGATCACTTGAACCTGGGAGGTCAACATTGCAGTGAGTCCTGATTATGCCATTGCACTCCAGTCTGGGCAACAGAGGGAGACCCTATCTCAAAAACTAAATAAACTGTTGTATCTATGTATTCCTATCAAAATTTGAACTTAGGACTCTTTCCATCAAATCCTGTATTTACATCATCCAGAAAGAATTTAATTGATGAAATGACACCACTGTGAGTCCCCTGTTGTTCTAGGATACAGCACCTTTTAACACAGGTGCTTGTCCTGTGCACCCTGGTCTCTAATTCAATACCAACTCGTCACTTAAGCCCTAGGGTCTGAGAAAAGGAGACAGTGTGAGCAGCTCTGATAGAGGATAAGCGGAAAGAAGTCAGAAACCTGAAGAGGATGAACCCAGACTCTGACCTTTCCAGAGTTTCCCCCAAATCTGCCCTGCCCCCTCCTCCCTGGGGTGCCTCCTGGTGTCCCCCCACCCTCGAGTGACAGGGGTGCTATGCACTCCCCTGTGGCTCATCCTGCAGAGGAAATTCACTCATTCCTAGGTTTATTCTGTGTCTTTGCAGTCCATTCCCCACAGAAAAGGAAACTCTATCTCACTGAGTGACCTCCAAGTGCTCATGTAGCACCAAAGGCCTTTTTGATTATCCATTTAGTAGCATTTCCACATGAAAAGTTGGAAAGACTAACAAAAACTTAAGTAATATTTCTTCTGATTATAAAAATAATCTTAGGACAGATGCAGTGGCTCACGCTTGTAATTCTAGCACTTTGGAGAGCTGAGACTAGCAAATTACTTCAGGCCAGAAGTTCAAGACCAGCCTGGCCAACACGGTGAAACTTCATCTTTACTAAAATTAAAAAAGTTAGCTGGGGTGGTGGTGCATGCCTGTAATCCCAGCTACTTGGAAGGTTGAGGCAGGACAATCACTTGAACCTAGGAGGAAGTGATTGCAGTGAGCTGAGATCTTGCCACTGCACTCCAGCCTGGGTGACAGTGAGTGAGACTCTGTTTTTATTTTTTTAAAGAAGGAAGATAATAAAAGTAATCTTAGTTTTAGAAGATTTGGAAAATCCAAGGAAATCAGAAGGAAGCAAATAAAATTATCTGTTCATGTCTGGGAGGAATTGTTAGGATTTTGTAGTAGACTCCTCTTCGATTTCCATTCAGTTGTATGTAACAAAGGCATGCTTTACTAAGATGTGAATGTACTGCAAATTTTGTTCTAACCCGCCTTTTCATTTAATTGTATTTTCAGTATTTTAACATATCACTCATTTTTTCTTCTGTGCTTTATTTTTTTATTCATCCTTTTAAATTTTTTTTTTTTTTTTTTTTT